CACCCCTCCTGCCCACACTCTCAATGTGTTGACCATTTTAAATGCCATTGTATCCAAAGTTCAGCTCTTGCAAAGAAAAGACAAAGGAGAAGATAACTGCTTTCCAAGAAATAAGGCATTGAGGAATGAATGAAGAGTCCTGATTAACTTAGCCTGTTATGGAAATTGAATAACCTTGCTGTGGCAAAAGGCAGCCTTTTTAAGTGCAAGAAAACTGTGGGCTGGTCCTCCACTGAAGACATGAAGATTGTTTCATTTTTTATTTAGGAATTAGCAGAGGAATGTTCTCCCCCCAAAAGGTGCATGCCATTTAGGCTCTCCAATCCCAGGAACACGTGATGTAATCTTTGCTGTTCCAGTGTGAAAAGAAAAATCTTGATTAGAGATTTGAGCTTCTTGGTAAAATTCATTCTTTGCAATCCTTAGAAAAAGCAAGATGAAATGCAGATGCTGAATGTGACTCTGGGGAAGGATAAGAGTATCGTGCACTCCCTGCTATTCTCAATAGAATGAGGAGCCAGAGAAAGTCTTGAAAACTGATGGGGGCAAAATCCAGGTTCAACAGGACAAGTGGAAAAGAACTGGCACTTTTGGTCTGCAGCACCAGATCCTGTGGGGCTCCCCAAAGCAACTTCCAAGTTTGCAAGAGGGAGAGTGACAGCAAGACAAGAGCCATTCGGCTGATACAGGCCCAAAAAACTTGAGAGTGCAAGGAAAGACTTTTTGAGAATAATGGTGTACTTGGGAATCACTGTGGTTCTTGAGTAAACAGGAAACCCAAACTGAGCCAATACAGTCCACCTGGTTCAGGGTAGAGACTTGAAGTCTACAATATAAATCTGGCCAGCTGGAGATCTCCCCAGTGTTGAAAGCAATCTTTTCATCTTTGTGAGCAGTTGCCAAAATTGATGATGTGGCCTTGAGGATTGGGCACTTGGTTTGCCCTCACACTGTGCTCTTCTCTTGACTTCCAGGTGAGGAGGGGGGAAGGGACTCTTTAGTTAGCTTGGATGCGTGTTGGATTGTTGATAGACTATGTCTCTGTTTGATTCGCTGGCTGTTTGGTGTTTGCCTAGAAGAAAAGTATAGCCATACCCAGTGTGACACCACTGGGAGAGCAGATCATAGAGTTCAGTGGAAGAGCACATGTTCTGGATGCAGAAGTCAGGCTAAGCTATGATTTCTTGAATAAACAATAATAGTTGGGGTCATACAAAAGGCTAAGACAAAACTTAAAAAAAAAAACTGGTTTTGTATGCTGTGTGAATTGGACAATAAGTAGAGCTAAAGCAGAGAGATATGGGCTGTAATCCTGAAATGTTTAGATTCTCTTTGCAGGGCAGTGGCTGGTGGGTTGAATTCTTACTTGGGTTAAAAATCCATCCTTCTACTATGAAAATTACTAGATGACTTTGGACATCCATATTTATTAAAAATATTTCTTGGCCAATTAACATTAAAATAATTATTTGGTGTACCGTAAGACAGTTTTGGGGTTTATACATTAGATTCAACTATGGCTTGTTTAACCCTGGTTTGTTGAATAAACAATTGGTTGTGGAAGATGTGAAACCACAAACCATGGTATATAAACTACAGTGGTTGACGTTTGTATAACAAGCTGACCCCAACCCAAATGAATTTCGTAAGGGCCTAGTGTGGTACCACTTTATTCCAGGTAGTCCTCACTTAACAACTGCCCTGTTTAGCAACCATTCAAAGTTACAATGGTGCTGAAAAAGTAACTTTACAAACGGTCCTCGTACTTATAACCGTTGCAGCGTCCCCGCAGTCACATGATCAAGACTTGGGCACTTCACAACTGCCAGCACATGTCGCAGCATCCCACGATTATGTTATTGCCATTTGCGCACTTCACAACCAGCTTCCAACAATCAGTGTCAATGGAGAAGCCAGCAGTAAAATCGCAACTCACGGTCTTATGTCTCACTTGACAAAGGTGGATGACTGTCTTAATGACCTTGGCAGAAGTGAAGATGTAAGTCCATCATAATCATGTGATGTCTCATTTAACCACCACACCACTTAGCGATGGAGTTGCCAGTCCCAATTGTGGTCATTAAGCGAGGACTACCTGTATTTGGTTGCAATCCTCTTTAATATGACTGCTGTCAGTGTGTAAATTCTGTGTGTCCAATTTGTAAACAATTTATACAGAAAATCCCTTTCCTAACAATAAGCTGCTTTAAAAAAAACCAAACAAGTGTAAACTATTCACTGGCTGCCAATTTAGTCCAATTTAGCACAATAAATAGTGTCCAGAAGGGGAAGAATAATGAAAAAATGAGATTTAACTCTGGTGTTATTTATTTTTTATGAAGCTGATAGGTTGATGTTGAAGAAAAGATTTGTGTTGACTCATTAGGAAAGTAGACATAGATGTTGGATATTCATTAAGATAATACAGTGGGTCATCATATTTTCCCAGAACTGGCCATTTCTAGGTGGTATTATTATTTCTGAGGGTTGCCAGGGGACATGTAATGTTCTTGGAACAGGCAAAAGCTAAATTTGGGGGGGCAGATTTTGAATGGAAATTGGGCGGTCTTAGAAGGCAAAATGAGAGCTTAAGTCCCTCCCCCTCCCCCAGCTTTTAAAACAAACAGGGGAGTTTCTCTGACTTTCTGGGCAGGGGGAGGACTTAAGGGCATAGTTGTTTTTAATATTTAACTTAATATTTAGGAAATATTCAGCATAATATTAATGGGGTGCTCTACAAGTTTTCTGGGGCTGAATGGATCAGCCAAAGGAGCAATACCATGATCAGAACTGTATTATGTGACGTCTAAGTCAATTAAGTGATGTCCAGGCTATGAGAATTATTGGGAATTCTTTTGGGCCTCTGCACACTTCAAAAATGATTTGGAACAAGTGTTTTGGATTTCATAAGAGCACAGTTCCTCCCTGCTCTTCGTTAAAGCAGCTATGTCTTGTCTTCCAGCTTCTGCATGAGCCTGAGAAAATGAGGTTGCTGTTTTAGGACTTGCTCAGCTCATTAAAACAGCAGCATCTTTTCTTTTGGAAATAAGAGCCCCGTGCAGCCTTACCTTCATGTTGGAATGTTCCAGCAGAGGAGAAGCAGTAAGGTGCCTTTCTTTGTTCAAGGGAGGAGTATAATGTTACACCCAGTTGCTTCCATATGAGTTGGAAGGTTTCAGCTCCATCAAAGCATTGCGTGTATTTGAAGGGTCCCCATTAGGGGAGTTGTCATGTCAGCATGGCGATTGTCTCCTCCTTTACATCAAAAACACAATTTGGTGAGTAGAAAGTTGCTCATGCTCCTTCCTGTGTTGGATTTGACACATGTAGATAGTGCCTGAACCAGGTTAAACGGGGCCTGAAGTGGAACATGTGTAAGATGCAGTAAAAAATGGAGAGGAAAAAGTCCCTATGATGGATACACTATCTAAGACATTTACTTATTTTAGATTAGTGACCAGGAATGATTAATTTCCCCATGATTCCACTTTGCAACATTAATTAATTAATTTTTTTTTTTGCCACTTCCACATCAATCTGTGGTTGTTAAGGATGCAGGAAAAGGTGTACGCATTTCCAGTTCTCCCAGGGATATCTTTATCTCACGTTTTTGTCAAGAAACCCACTTCCTGGTTTGCAAGCACTTCCCCATAATGCATTTTTAAAGATTTTGTTTGCTTGCTTTGCATAGACATTCTATGCTATGTAGTTCTGTGTACCTTTTAATGAGAGAGCTTCATTACGGAATGCCAAAAAGAATTCATACCGGAGTATAGCTCTGTTTTGGTCTGTGTTGCTGCAAGATGTGCAGATTAAGAGAACAACTTTAAAATATGAACCAAATAGGTTTTTAACCTCTCTGTCTTATTGGTTCTTTTTGAGCGCAGTGATTTGTAGAAGAAAACCAGCAACCATCGCAAGAATTACTAACAGTAGTCTTCCTGGATTTATTCTTGCTTTAGAGAGTTTGCTTAGGCAGTGTTTCTCAACCTCAGCAACTTTAAGCTGCACGGACTTCAATTCCCAGAATTCCCCAGCCAGCAGGGGAGGCTGGCTGGGGAACTCTGGGAGGTGAAGTCTGTGCAGCTTAAAGTTGCTGAGGTTGAGAAACACCATGGTCAGGGTTATCTCTGCAGATATGAAAGTTAAAATCTCTTTTTTAAAACGAGATCGGTGGCAATTACGAGATGCTAAAGCAGGCACGGAATGCTAAATGCAGTTTTATTGTGGACTGGCAGAATGGAATTCTTCCCCCGTTACAAATATAATCCCCTAAATTGCAGATCACAGACAAACACTGGTTAATTACAAAACCCTCTGCACATTTGTAATAATACTATGAGTTTAGCCTTGAGTGCCTTTTTAACATAAATGAAAACAACACAGGAAAAAAAATCCTGTGTAACTTTTTGCAAATGTACTTCTGCATCTCAAGGTAAAAAAATACTGCTTCAGTTCTGTGTTTGTACCAGTTCCAAAGAAAGAAAGGCTTTCTATTTATGGAAGCCCTTTGCACCGTCACATTCCTTTCCTTTTCATCTCTTCCTTTGATTTCCCCAAGAGTCACTATGTGTACCTCAGCAGTACAAACGTCCTATCATCTAAAGCTAATGAAAATATTTTTTAAAAAAAGAAAAAAAGAATTCATCAAAGTCAATTCTAGTTCTGATGAAGTCTTGGAAAAAGGACAATGGTCATGCTGAAGAAAATCTCACTCACTTTTTCCAGCTGGTTCTCAGTTAACTGAATGAAAGAGAATTTGCTTGCAAGGGTTCTTTCAGGGGAAAAAAAAGGATTGCCGAGAAATTCTTTTGGGTGGAGGTTGGAATGCTCGCTTGTGGGTTGTGTGGAAGGAGCGAGTGTATCCTGCCTGTTCATGCATAATCCTCATTTCAGCATCCTTTTTGGCAACCTGTGCATTCCTTTAATTTCCCAGGAACGAGAATTACAAGGCAGCTCCTCCACAGGAGCTTTTTCAGACAGG